AGGGAGCACTTGGTCTGGAGCTGGTCCAAGGTTCGGACAGAGTACAACAGAGTCTGAAGAGTTAGTGTGAATAAAAGGATGTTAAATTATCTCATTAGTAACTTTTAGAATACTGCTTATAATTTAAGTAGTAGTGTTTGGGCTATATTGGGCTAAATAAAATATTATTAACAAAAATTTAACCTAGTTTAACTTTTTAAAATAATGGCTGCCAGAAAATATAGAACTGTGTTCTGTGGCCCCTCTTGGGGTTCGTGTTGTTTTTATTAGACAGCACCGTATGGCTTGTCCTTCAGGGTGGAGGGTGAGATTTGTTTTGGGAACTGGTATGTGATTGGACGGGAAGTGCTGGAGAATTACTGTTCTTGGTATAAAAAGCCCAATACAGTTTCTTAAACAGTGAAGTGACAAGATGAAATTAGTTTTAGGAAGATTAAGCGAGTCATACTGTGTGGTGCTACTGAAAATTAACTCTTACCGAGTGCTTGCTGTGTATTAAGCTCTTACCTTGTGATGAACTTGAGTCATAAGACAGTGTGCTTGTTGGCCCAGTGTCACAGAGTGCCTGATAATGGCTTAGATGTGAACCCAGGCAGTCTGATTCCAGAGCCATATGTAACACCATGTCTCTGTGAAGGTAAATTAGACAATGGAGATGATCTTTGTTCTTAAACAATAACTGCAATAACTGTGTGGTAACTGAACATTTTCTAATTCTATTAATATTTTAATAAGAACCAATTTTTTTAGTGGCACCCACCATAACACCTGGCTATTTTCTTTAAAGACAGGGTCTCAGTCTTGCTTGGGCTGGTCTTGAACTCCTGAGCTCAAGTGATCCAGCTGCTTTGGCCTCCCAGAGTGCTGGGGTTACAGCCATGAGCCACCGCACTGGGCCTGTTTTACATTCTTATCACCATGGTTGGTTGTTTACAGTATGATTTTGCCCATCCAGTACTGGCTCAACATGTAACAAGAGCTCTAAGTTGATTTTTCTTGTGTTCTATATATAATAGGAAGGTTTTAAGAATATATAGCCCTTTGTTTTACAATCATGTGTTGCTAAGCAGTGGGGACATAGTCTTAGAAATGTGTTAAGAGTCGCATCATTACGCAGTTCTGTCGTCAGGCTAGCACCTTGGCCCACTCCCCAGACCGAGATGCGTAGCCGACTGCACACCCAGGCTCTGCCGTGCGCCCTGCTGCTCCTGGGCTCCCGGCCTGCATAGCGTGCGGCTGTGCCGAGCACTGTTGGGTGGCTGTGCATCTAAACATGTCTAAACATAGAAAAGGTACAGTAAAGGTATAGTATTAAAATCTTGTGGGACCACCATTATACTGGTGTCTTTGACCAAAACGTTATGTACACAGGACTGTACTATTAAAACAAATTTTATTGTGGCCAAGGTTTTATGGCTGGGAATTATAAAACTCAGAGAATATGTATGTGATTACCGTTGCATTTGATTTAAAAAGTAAACATTTTCAAAAAAGAAAAGAAAACAGGAGATCACAGTTCCCTTCCTTCCTCCAAAATAAATAAATGTTACTATAAAAAAAGGTAAAAATTTTCTATTTGAGCTTGAGCTAAGCGATTATAAGTGGCATATATTTATTCCTAATTTTTTTCTTAGATGTCAGATCTTGAAATTTTGTAATGAATTTTCTGCACATAAAAAGTGAATCCAGGAGGAAAATGTGTTAGAGAGAACTTAGTTGAAGGGCCTTTATTTTTTAGGATGCCTAATGCACACAAGATATTGAAAGAGAAAGGAAGCTTTTTTTTAAAAAATACGAGACAGGGCTCACTATGTGGCCCTTGGTAGACTGCTGTGGCGTCATAGCTCGCAGCAACTCTAACTCTTAGGCTTGTGCAATTCTCTTCCCTCAGCCTCCCAAGTGGCTGGGACTACAAGTGCCCACCATAACGTCTGGCTATTTTTGTTGTTGTTGTTGTTGTTGTTGCAGTTGTCATTGTTGTTTAGTGGGCCCAGGCTGGGTTTGAACCCTCCAGGCTGGGTTTGAACCCTCCAGCCTGGGTATATATGGCTGGCGCTGTAACCACTGTGCTACAGGAGCTGGACCTTTTTTTTTTTTTTGAGACAGAATCTCACTCTGTCTCCTGGGCCGCAGTAACCTCAAACTCAAGCCCTCATCCTCCTGAGTAGCTGAGACCAAAAGTGCCCACCACCACGCCCAACTAATTTTTCTTTTTTTTTAGTATAGACAGGGTCCTACTGTTGCCGGCTGGTCTCAAAATCCTGAACTAAAGGGTGGCACCTGTGGCTCAGTGGGTAGGGTGCCAGAGGGTGGCGGGTTTGAACTGGGGCCTGGCCAAACTGCAACTAAAGGGCGGCACCTGTGGCTCAGTGGGTAGGGTGCCAGAGGGTGGCGGGTTTGAACTGGGGCCTGGCCAAACTGCAACAACAAATAGCTGAGCATTGTGGTGGGTGCCTGTAGTTCCAGCAACTTGGGAGGCTGAGGCAAGAGAATCGCCTAAGCCCAGGAGTTGGAGGTTGCTGTGAGCTGTGACACTACGGCACTCTACTGAGGTCAACAAAGTGAGATTCTGTTTCTAAAAAAAAAAAAAATCCTGAGCTTAAGCTATCTTTGCACTTCTACCTCCCGGAATGCTAGGATTACAGGTGTGAGCCACCACATCTGGCCTGTAACTAACTTGATTTTAAAAGAAACATGTCAGCATAGATGAAGTGTGATAATGGAGAGGAAGCTGGACACCTTAAAATGGGGTGCTTGCCTGGCCAGGGCTCACTGCCAAGGCAGCACGGAGTGTCTGAATTGTTGAATTTCCCCAACATTTATTTCAGAATTCTAGTCTTACAGGTAATGCTTAAATTTTTCTGTTCTTTACTGTGGAATTGGGAGTAAGGTTTGTATTATGTATTAAAGAGTGACTCGAACAATGATGTTTAGAATTTTATTTTTACTCTGACAGCTCTGATGGGAGCTTTACCATCTTGTTTTCACCTTGTCCAAAATGACTATGTTTTCAGGTTTTTTTTCTTCTTTATCTCTTAGGTTTGTAGCGATTCATATCTTTTAAAATTAATTAAAATAATTAGAGTCAAAATAAACCTTTAGAAGTGATTTATTTAGCCCAGAGTTTCTGAGTTTGAGAACTATTAGTGTATTGGGTGGATGATTCTTGTTTGTGGAGGGCAGCCCTGTACATCTGTGGGACATGTAGCCACTTATCTGGCCTCTCCTCACTGGATGTGAGTAGTGTCCTTTCAGCTGTGACAACCAACAGTGTCTCCACGCTTAGCCAGATTTCCCCACGGGACAGAATTGCTCTGGTTGAGAAACACTTGGCTTGCTCATTTCCTGTGGGGGTGGTTCCCTTCTCTGGGACTCAGAGAAAGAGAATTTGCCACCTTATCCAGCAGTGCATTTCAGCTTCATCTGGTTCTTTGAGATAGAAATCTTCTCTCTCTTAAGCTAAAAACTGCTACCTCTAATTTTTTATTCTGTCTCTTGGGACCGCATAGAGGCAATAGAGTGATAGACTCACCTACAAACCTTCCCAGTTATTGAAACTTGTCATTTTTGGTTTGTTGTGGGATTATGTTAGAACCAAGTTAGCAACTTTTTGTAATGGGCCTGAGAGTAAATGTTCTAGGTTTTTCAGGCCACATAATTTCTGGGCTACGTAGAGTCCTGTTGCATAATCTTCCTTTTTTTCTTCTTTCTGACCTTTCTTCCATCCTCCCATGCACCATTCTACCCCTTTCTTTTCCTCTTTATTTTTTTTGACCTCTTAAAAATGTAAAAAAGTCCACAGTGACTTGCCAGCCCCAGTCTCAGACATCTCCCTGTCTGCTGAGTCTCAGAGGGCAGCACCTCTTGCCAGAACTTTGGGGAAGGGCTGAACAGCACAGAACAGCATTGGACTTTCACTAACTCTACAAAGCAAAGTACTTACTGCTTTTTTTTGAGCTTTGTCACATTTTCAACTTAATGTTGACCAAGATGCTGTTTTGTCTTTTTTATTAAGAAGCCACTGGCTCGGCACCTGTGGCTCAAGTGGCTAAGGCGCCAGCCACATACACCTAAGGTGGCGGGTTCGAATCCA